ACGAATAGACCCTGAATCCACCCTAAATCAACCCTGAATCCATCCCAAATCCACCCCRAATTGGCCCCAAATCCATCCCAAATCCRCCCTGAATCCATTCCAAATCAACCCTGAATCCACCCCATATCCACCCCGAATCCACCCTGAATTGATCCCAAATCAACCCCAAATCCACCCCAAATCCACTCTGAATCCATCCCAAATTAACCCTGAATTGGCCCCAAATCCACCCCAAATCAGCTCTGAATCCACCCCGAATCAACCCTGAATCCATCCCAAATCCATCCCCGATTGACCCTGATTCCACCCCAAATCCATCCCAATTCCATCTCCAATTGGCCCTGAATCCATCCCAAATCCACCCTAAATCCATCCCAAATCCACCCCAAACGGACCTGGAATTGACCCCAAATCCACGCCAAATCCATCCCAAATCAACCCTGAATCCACTCCAAATCCACCCCAAATCCATCCCAAATCTACCTCCTACTTCATTTATCCCAAATAATCATTAATAATTTCCATTTTTAATTATTTTTTCTCAAAACTGAGGATTTTTTTCTCTTTTTTATTGATTCCAGAGGAATGACATTGCCATGGCCATCACCAAATTCGATCAGTTCGATTTCCTCATCGATATCGTCCCCAGGGATGAGCTGAAGCCTCCAAAAAGGCAGGTGAGACACAAAAATCCCAAAATTCTTCAGTAAATAATAATTTTTTTTTAAATTAATATCTTTTTAAAAAATTATTGGAGGTAATAAATTCAAATTAAATTGCAAATTATTGGTTTTGGATGGAAAATCAACCTTTGGGGTGGTTCTGATCGCAAATGGTTTTCTTAAATTTTTTTCTTTAAGGTATTTTGAATTCTTCAAGAAATAATTTTTTAAATATATAATTTTTTAAATTTATTAAAGGTTATTAAAATTTTAATTATTGGTTTGGATGAAAATGGAGCTTGAGGTCAGTTGGAAAATCAACTGTTAGAATGGTTCTGATCCCAGATGGTTTTCTTAAATTCTTCAGTTTCAGGCTTTTTCAAATTTTTCAATTTCAGGAGTTTTTAATTTTTAGAGAAATAATAAAAATCATCAGGAATAGATAAAAATAAAATTAAAAATTATTAGATTTGGATGGAAATAGCTCCACACAAGTTTGACCAACAAACCAAACTCCTCAACGGCTCTGACCCCAAACGGTACCATTTAAACATTTTAACTTTTAAAAAACCCCATTTTTTTCTGAATTTTTTTWACTTTTTGATGAAAAATCCCTGTTCTGCGTCCTTTGGGGCAGTCAGTGCCTCTGTAAACATCCTTGACTGGAAGCTGGAAGGTTCTGGAAGGAGCTTTCAGTCGGATGTTTACAGCGGCAGGCTGCTGCTTTCGGCTTTTCCTTCTGAATTTCCCTGGAT